GAAGAAGAAGAAGAAGAAGAAGAAGAAGAAGAAGAAGAAGAAGAAGAGTAATGCCATAACTTGAGTGTCTTTGCTGCAGAATTATTTTAATCTGGTGACTGCTATCTGTTCTTCTGCAAGTTCAATTTCCCTTTTGTCTTCCTCAGGAAAGGGACAGATACTTTTGGTATAGTCTCCCAGAATTGAGACCTAATTATTTAGAGCATGAATATGTGCTGTATACCTGAACTGCCAGAGCAGTATAAATCTGTAGCACATATCCCAGTCAACTCATTTTCTCTCTTGATTTCCAGCCGGCCTCACCTAAAAGAAATAACACCATGGTGGATTACTACCAAGCACTCAACGTCCCACAAACTGCCTCCTCAAATGATATTAAAAAAGCGTAAGTAGCCCTTGCTCAGAGCTCCCTTTGCCCATCTGTAAAGTTAAAACTACCTTCCATTTGTGTTAGGCCACACAACTGCAGCTTTCATGACCTAAAGCCAATACATATCACTGTTCATACTGTGTTTGTTGAAGGTGGTTGGAATTCAACACAGCTTTGGGAGAGTTCCAGTTTGAAGAAGACTGTGCAGAAACTTGTCATTTCTAAACATTCTGAACTGAAAGCTTGAATATATATGCCCATGTTGAATGTTCGAATGTGCACCTGTTTAAACTATGTAACAGGGTACCTTTGAATTTTTGGGAAGTGTTTTGAGATTAAAATGGAGATGTTTCAAGCTCAAACGCTTTCTAAATGGCTGGTCGGATACCTGAACTAGGACTCTGAGTAAGGTGTAGTGTTTCAAATTCCAAACAGTTCAGATTCAAAACAGTTTGTTCAGTCCTACTACATATTGTATGAGACAGGAAGTACAGCGTATAGTTAAAAGATAGTGTTCTTACTGACATCTGGGGTGAGAGGCAAGGGAGACCAGTATCTGTCTTTTTGTGAGAATGCAGAGAACTTGGCTTGTAAGCTCCAAGAAACATTGTTTAGCCATACATATGAAATAATAGATACAATGTGATTATGTTTTGTAGGGATTCTGCTTGATGTACTGTAATAGTAAGCACCCTTTTACAAATATATAAATTCAGATACAGTGACAATTAAAATTGGTGTAGTTATGAGCCATTAGTACCTTCTGGCAAAGATTATTGTCAGAGAGGCCTTTCAATTTTCATTTATTTGGCTGTCAATTGATGGTTATCATACTGCCTTGAGATCAGAGATGTCACCGTTGGCTTTGCATGAAAAGGTTTATCATAATCAGCTCTTTCTCCCTGGAATGTTCAAGGTACAGGAAAAATGCATTGAAATGGCACCCGGATAAGAACCCAGGGAACAAGGAACATGCTGAAAGAAAATTCAAGGAGATAGCAGAAGCATATGAGGTGCTGTCAGATGGTAAGTGTTAAGTTTGAGCAATGAGAGGCTGAACCAGAGCATGAGTGCAACAATACTTTATTTTACAATAAAGGGCTGACCATGCTTGCCAAGCCTGGAACTGGCTCGCAGCAATCAGCAACCGGTTGGACCCCGCAGCCTGCTTTTATAGCTGGCTGCTGGGGAGAACCAACCAATGGGAATGGGGGAATAACGCCCACATAAAGTGAGTGGACCTGAGTGAGAACTCCTTGAGTCCTCAGGACATAACACCCCTTCCCCCCAGATGCGAACATGCATAGTCCTTGAGGTAGACGGGGGGTTTGTGTTGGCGCCCGGAACGGCGCAACTCGGGAACATTGTCTGTCTGTTCGGTATCAGTCTGTGATGGTCGAGCCGGCATAGTGTCGCCAACACTCTCTCTGGACTGGGCATCCTCGGAAACCACCTGGTTGGTTACTGGGGTCGAGCTCTCGTGGGTTGGATCAGGCTGGTCAACTCTCTGGGCGCTGTTGTCCGAGTTTGGGCTGACCGGAACGACCGCTGGTGCAGACTGGTCGCTGGGTACGATGTGGCTGGGCGGCAGATGAGGCGGTTCCCCTTCGACTGGAGACTCTGGATTCTTGTTGGCAAGGGTGCTGAGGCGCCTTCTAAGCTGGTCTATGTGTCTCCTCCAGACGCGACCATCCTCCAGCCTGACCCTATACGATCTCGGCCCAGTGATGGCGATGACCTCGCCTGGAATCCAAAGTGGGTCCCCAGCGAAATTCCTTGCGAATATCGGCTCCTGTAACATAAAATGTCTAACCCCCGAAGTAGAAGCGAGGGGAGAGTCAGGGCAGTATTGTGGGTGCAATCTGTCCAATACAGTCCTCAGGCGCCGGCCCATCAGAAGTTCCGCTGGGGACTTATTGGTGACTGCACAGGGGGTTGAGTGCTGGCTCATCAGGAACCGTGCGAGTTTGTGGTGCCAGTCATCCCTGCCAAACCTAGCGAGGGCCTCTTTGGAGGTCCTGACGACCCTTTCAGCCAACCCATTACTGGCAGGGTGAAATGGGGCTGTGAAAATGTGGCGAATGCCCAGGTTGGCAGCAAAACGGCTGAATTCTACTGATGCGAACTGTGGGCCATTATCGGAGACAATGGAGTCGGGTAGTCCATGTGTAACAAACAGGCGCGTTAACACGTTGGTGATTGCTAGTGTGGTGGTTGTGGATAGCTGTGCCACGTCTATCCATTTGGAATAAGCGTCCACGACCACTAGGAACATCTTTCCATGCACGGGGCCGGCCAGATCGATATGGATTCTAGACCAAGGGGCGCTGGCGCTCTCCCATCTGGTAGGGGTGGCGATGGGGGGGGCAGGACGGGATTCCTGGCAAATGCTGCAGGAACTTACCCAATTGACAATGTCCTCGTCTAGACCCGGCCACCACACGTAGCTGCGTGCTAATGCCTTCATTCTCACAATGCCGGGGTGTCCCTCGTGCAACGCCTCCAGGACTCGGGTACGCAGCGAGGTCGGAATGACCACTTGAGTGCCCCACAGTAGACAACCCTGCAAACTGGACAGCTCCTGCATGCGCGTCTTAAAGGGTGCGAATTTGTTATCAACGTTGCCTCCCGGCCACCCCCTCCTCACCCAGTCGAGCACCTGGGCGAGCATTTGGTCTGCCTTGGTTTTAGCGGCGATGTCAAGGGCAGTGATGGGCAGGTCCAACTGGGTGATTTCGAAAATGGCGTTGACAGGAGCTGGGTCTTCAGCCGGAGCGGGTAAGGGGTAGCGACTGAGAGCGTCGGCGTGGGATAGAGTTTTGCCCGGGCGGTGAATAAGTTTGTATGAGTAGGCCGCTAGGAAGAGTGTCCACCTAGTCATCCTAGGGGAAAGGACTTGAGGTGTCTGTTTGTCGCCGGCCAGTAGGCCCAGGAGGGGCTTATGGTCGGTGACCAGTTCGAAGAAGTGGCCAAAAAGGAATTCGTGAAACTTTTTCACGGCTGCAACAGCTGCTAGGGCTTCCTTGTCTATTTGGCTGTAATTTCGCTCCGTGGCCGAGAGCATCCTGGAGAAAAAGGCGATGGGGGCCTCGGCGCCATTGGGGAGTCTGTGACTAAGGACCGCCCCAATTCCAAAAGGGGATGCGTCTGCTGCCAGTACTAAAGGAAGGTTGGGGTCGAATTGGATGAGCACTGCCTCTGACGTAAGTAGTGATTTGACGGCGTTAAACGCCTGGTCTTCTTTGTGCCCCCAGTGCCACGGTGACTTTTTGTCTAGTAATCTGTGTAGAGGTTCGGCTACTGAGGCTTTATGGGGCAAGAAGGATGCATAAAAGTTCAGCAGCCCCAAGAAAGCTTGTAGCTCCGTTTTGGAGGTTGGTGTGGGAGCTTCGTGGATTGCCCTAACCTTGGACTCCAGGGGGTGAATGCCAGAGGCGTCAATTTTATAACCCAGAAAGTCCACCTGTCTAGTGGCAATGGCGCATTTTTCTTTTTTTTAACTTGAGGCCATGCTGTCTGAACCTCTCTAACACTGCTCGCACTCTCTGGAAGAGTTGGGGTCTGTCCCTGGCCGAGACCAAGATGTCGTCGAAGTAGGGTACTACACCAGGGAGGCCCTGTAAAATCCGCTCCATGAGGGATTGAAAAATACCCGGGGCAACACTTACGCCAAATTGGAGACGCTTGCATCGGAAGGCACCCCTGTGAGTGACGATGGTCTGAAGTTCCGCTGTTTGGTTATCAACAGGGAACTGCTGATATGCTTGAGACATGTCCAATTTAGCAAAAATACTGCCCGGCTCGAATGTGTGCAATAAGTGCTGAATGACGGGCACAGGGTAGGCGCTAACTTGTAAATATTTATTGATTGTTGTCTTGTAGTCCGAGCAAATTCTCAGGCTACCATCTTTTTTAAGGGGTGTGACAATGGGCGTCTCCCACTTGGCGAAATCTGTTGGCTCAATGACCCCTTGTTTTAGTAGTTTATCCAATTCAGCGTCTAGTTTTGGTCGAATAGCAAATGGGACTCTACGTGGTTTTAATCTGATTGGGACTGCCTGGGGGTCAACGGTGAACGAGATGGGGGTTCCATTATAACACCCCAGCTCCTCGCTGAACACATCTGCGTAGTCAGCGAACAAGGAGTCAGTGTCTGAGGTTGAGACAGCATGGACTCCTGTTAACCCTAGGCCGAGGTGGGGAAACCAATCGAGCCCCAATAAGGTGGGTAGATTGCCGTTAACTACCACTAGAGGTAGGTGGCCTTTAAAAGCTCTAAAACTGACAAAGAACTTGCCTCTGCCGATCACGGGAATGGCCTTCCCCTGGTAGTCCTTCAGACCGAACTGGCATCTCTGAAGCCGGGTAGTAGATAGGCTGGGGTGGAGTCTCTTGAGGGTGTTCCATGAGATTATTGAGAGCGCTGACCCTGTGTCAACCTCCATGTGGCACGGTTTACCTTCTAGGGAAACGGAGAGAGAAATTTTACTAACAGTGTGGCAAGTACGCCTGGCAAGGCGGTGCGTGCGACAGTTTAATACTTGCCTCTGTGGTCCCGAGTGCGAGGACGGGGGTCTGTGTGCAGCGCTTTGGGGGGCTTGGCAGACTCTCGCGATGTGCCCCCTCTTATGGCAGTTGTTGCAAGTGGCTCCTTTAAACTTGCAGGTGGCCCTTTGATGCGATCCCCCACAGGCTAGGCACAATGTGATGTGCTTGGGTGGACCGGTGTATTCTTGTTTGGCCCCTACCTGCGACCGTCTGTCGTTGGCGAGGCGGTGGACGTCGTTTTCATCGTTGTGGGTTTCCTCCGCTTCCACCTCTTCGGAATGGACTGGGAACGATGCTAGCTTGGCACTTGGGCCCTGGATTTCGGTGGCTGAGTTCGTTGCTAGCTCGGCTGCTAGGGCCTCCTCGACCGCTTGCGCGAGGTTGAGGTCTTTTTTTGCTAGCAGGCGCCTCTGTAGGTTGAGATCCTTGACCCCACAAACTAATTGATCGAGGAGCATGTCCTCCAGGTATGTTCCAAACCCGCAGTGCAGGGCTGCTGTTCTGAGGGCGGCCATATATTGATTGATGGTCTCCTTACTGGATTGCTTCCTCATACGGAACGTGAACCTCCTGGCGATTTGTGAAGGCCTGGGAGCGTAGTGGTTAGTGAGGATCTCAAGCAACTCGGACCACGGAACGTTTTTCAATTCTCTCGGCGCTACGAGTGCTGCGGCGGTATCGTAAACGGTGGCTCCGCAGTAGATTAGGAAATAGGATTTTTTCCGATGTTCTCCCGCGTCCGCCAGGCCGACCGCATCGATGTAATGATTGAAGCGGTTCTTATACGATTCCCACTTCTCTTCGTCTGGTTTAAACGCCAGGAATACTGGGTTGGAACTCATGGTGCTGGAACGGCTGGGCTACCTGCGGAAAAATCTCTCTGGGACTACGAGCGCTCGTGAGTTACTAGTGATATCAGCTCTGGAGAGGTTTTTTTGCTACCCTCTCTTTCTCTCTCTGGGTTACCACGTTGGCTGCTAGCCGTTGGAGGTGTCTTGATTCGCGCCAAAAAGTGGGCGTTAGTGACTTCCTACAACGCTGTGCTGTGTCTCCTACTGGCTCGAAATTCAAATGACACCCGTTTGAATTTCGCGCCAAATACAGAGCGGCTGCGGCTCGCAGCGCTTCACTTTCCCTGTAGCGGGGCTAACAAGCGGCTACAGACGCTTCTAACTTTTTGAATCAGACCGCTTTCTCTGGCTGCGGATCAGCGTTTGCTCTTTTTGATCGCTCGTTTTGTTGGCTGACCGCTCTCTCTGGCTGCGGATCAGCGTTTCCCTTATCGCCAGCCGATCGCTCTCTCTGGGCTGCGGATCGGTGGCTAGTGACTCAGCGGTTGCAAGGTGCTTCTGGTAGCCATCCCACCCTCGTCGCCAGTGTTAAGTTTGAGCAATGAGAGGCTGAACCAGAGCATGAGTGCAACAATACTTTATTTTACAATAAAGGGCTGACCGTGCTTGCCAAGCCTGGAACTGGCTCGCAGCAATCAGCAACCGGTTGGACCCCGCAGCCTGCTTTTATAGCTGGCTGCTGGGGAGAACCAACCAATGGGAATGGGGGAATAACGCCCACATAAAGTGAGTGGACCTGAGTGAGAACTCCTTGAGTCCTCAGGACATAACAGTAAGAGTTCAAGAACCTTCTATGCGCTCCATCTTGTTTTCAAGAGAGCTCTTCTCTGATGGCTTCTAGTTTTCCTTTCTTGTGTGACATAATAGTCTCCACATAAACAGTAATTTATTAACTACTATTTTGCTGTGTAGCCCCCATTTCTTGATTTTTCTGCTCCTGAGATACCCATGGAGCTTTCCTTAGGTTTCCTGTCTACCCTTTGTCTCTTGCTAAGGAAGAACCAGAGAGCAATATCAAGGAATTAAAAATGACATTGAACGTTAGCATCTGACTACAGCCATTGGGCCTCAATTTTGAAGGGTTGTAGAAAGATTAAATACTCAGATGGAATTGTACAACTAGTATAGTGAAAGGTGAATGTGCTTAAAGTAGGATTTTTGACCCTTTCCATTGTCTTTGTTCCAGATTATAAACGTGACCTTTATGATCTCTATGGAGTTGAGGGCCTTCTAAATCTAAGTACAGGTAAGCATCCTATTCTGAATGACAGTGGGAAAGAGGCCATATTCTCTGTGTACGTATTGAAGTGTTTTGTGCATTAGCCTTGGTGCTTGTCACACAATTAGCCTTTTATGGAATCTAGTCTTCCCCATGCCACCCTATCAGGATGTGAATTCATTTAGCACCCCAGGGCAATATCCATCCTCTACGTGATATTCCATGTTTGCAACCAGACAGTTTCTATTCTATCAGAGATAGAATTTGAATATGTAGTTTCATGAACATTCCTCTGTCAAAAAGGCCAAACTGTTCAAAATGAAGAGGGATTTAATATTTGATCAATACTTCTACAACTGCCCCCATCCCTCTGTGTGTGTGTGTGCATGCAGGTGCATGCGATGTCCTTATTTTACAGCATGCTAAAGATGCACTCCTTTGTAGTTAGGGTTCTTCTTCCCATCCTCCAATTCAGCATAGAATTCCCTCCCTGTTTCTTCTGGCTCTGCTTGCAACCTGCTATAGGCAAAGAGATCATTCCCAGCCCCAGCTGTCTTTAGCAAATCATCTCCCTTCCTTATCTTACTTCGGTAAAGTTGGAATTTATAATGAGTAGGTATCTGATCTGTTTTCTGCAAGGAACGGGAGCATGCCCAAGCTCAACAGGGACCCCCGATCTGTTCACGTTTCGAGATGCGGATGAGGTCTTCAGAGAATTTTTTGAAGGACAAGATCCCTTTACCGAAATCCTTGGTAAGTACAGTGAGTACATAGGGGATGTGACATTGAAACCGGCTGTCTTGGAAATTGCACTTCTAGCTCAGTATCGTTATTGTTGATGGGCACCAGATCTTCAAAATTTCAGTGATGAGGTCTTGGCCAGTCCTACCAGCCTAGAGGCATCTAAGGTGTGTGTAGTAATGAATAAGTTGTGCATAATGTTGTTATCATGCAAATGCCACTACATAGATAATTGTATTACATGTCATGACATAAGTAAATAAATATAGCATTTGTGTGATGTCATCATTATATATTTGCCATTTTAATGTCACAAGTTTGTTATGGATGTCCTTAATTATCTTAAACAGGAATTATCCTAAACTTTAAACATTCTTCACCCAATGCCCTATATTTACCAAACGAAGAGATTTAAAAGTGGACATACAAAATGAAGTTAATTAAGCAAAAGTCTTGCGAATTAAGAAGCTGTTACAAATAATCACATACTAAGTACAAACAGCCCTCTCATTAGTTAGGAAATAGCTTCAAATGAGTCGTTCCAAGGCGGTGGGGAGAGGGAAAATTTGTGGCCTACTACAACTACTCAAGGCAAAGTTCTGTTGGAAAGGCTACCTTAACATCAATTTGTAAGCAAGAACCAACATGACATGGTGGTGACACTTCCTTCAATCTTTGTGCCACCCAAATATGTGAATTTTAATTTCCAGAATTCTTAGTAATGTACATTGAAGAAGTATTGGAATAACCCTGAAGAAATCCAGCTTAAAATCCAGGTATAGCCAAAGAAGCTCATAATCATGCAGCACAATATCTTCCAAGGCTATTGTTGGTATAAAAATTAACAGAGAGTGTTTTGTGGGCCCTGAGCTTGAAAGAAAGATGGAGTATAAATATAACCATTGAATAATAAATGTGTCAACAACCAGTCCAGTCTACCTATGCATATGAGGGAAAAATGGGAAGCCCCAATTTGCAATTTGCCACTAGCAACAAAAGATTTAAGGCTGGGCTCGGAACTCAAGCATTTAACAATCAACACACAAATTGGAATTTTAGTGAAAATTAATCACACAGCAGGAAAACTCCCTGCTGAACAGAACTGGAGGATGCTCTTCTTTTGCTTCACAAACACTTTTGGGCAATGGCCAGCCGCTGCATGTGATTTACTGCCTGGGACTCAAGAAAGTTGTTTCAAACAGTGGTCCCCAACCTTTTTTGTACCAGGGACCAGTTTCACGCAGGAACATTTTTTCAAGGACTGGTTAGGGTTTTTTTATTTATTTGTTTGTTTATTTTTTAATTATTATTTATTTATTTATTTTTATTTTTTATTTTATTTACTATTACACTATCAACTCACCAAAATTAACCAGTGTTGGAGGATTACTAAAAATGTGTATAAATGCAAGACTAGAGTCCAATAAAGTCATCATGATTCAGTTGATCATGATCAAACAAAAATATATGTTTTCTCCAAAAGCGTTTTGTAAGGTAATAATCCGCAATTCAGATTTTACACTTAGGATGGGTTTGATCTCCCATATGGTCTTCAGCTTTCCACAATCTTAACAACTGTAAGGTGTGTGGGGAATTCAGAGAGTCCAAGTCCACACATTTTAAAGTTGTTGAGGTTCAGAAATCCAGGCATATAAGGAATTCCGGGGATTCATTCGAAATACCTGGAGAGCCCACTTCTTTCCGGATCTCTCTCGCCCCATTTCACTGCAACCCCTTGGCAAGCAGAGCATTGTCTAGAACTCTTCCAGCTGAAATAAGACTTTCAATTACCTGGGAACAAATCCATATTAAACCAGTCAAACTTTTAGTAGATATTCACTGTGTAGCTTGGCTAAAGCAACATTCTGCCCTGTGTGTTTTAAGATTCTTGTCTCTTTCGCTCTCTTCTCTTCTCCTCTCCCGGTTGTTTCGGGCGGCAACTGCCTTTGCCTCTGCCCGGCGCCTTTCGTCGCGCACCCTCGTCCTCCCCCGGCTGACGGCTCCGCCGCTGCCGCCGCGCCATGGCCCCGGCACCCCTCCGGCACCCCGGACAAGCGCAGGGCTGCTTTTGGGGGCTCCCGTAAGGGGTCTGGATCGGGATCTGAGCCCCTTCATTCCACCCCACTCTAGCTTTCGGCTCACACACCTCTCTCTCGCTCTCGCTCCCTTTCCCCAGGTGGAAAGAGGCGCTTCGTGGCGGAGCCGCTGAGGCGAGCTTTCTCCCCACGCTGCGTTCCTTTCTCCCTGAGGCCGTCGACTGGCGCTGCTGAGGGCAGACTTTGAAACAAGATGGCGCCCAAGCAAAGTAGGCGGCCCAGTCCAAAATGATCCACGGACCGGTACCGGTCCGGGGACTGGTGGTTGGGGACCCCTGGTTTAAAACATTAAAACAGGGAGAAAAATCAAATGGGAGAGAATGCAGTGGCATTACTCCTTTGGTTACCTTATTTTCCTAAAGACTTCCAACTATGCTAATCTGTTAATCACTGTTAAAAGGAGCACAAATCCCTGGTTATTCTCTACTGCAGGAAAAGGGGAAAGGAGCCAGAAGAATGGCAGGGGAAGAGTTGTTTCCCTTGTTGTATAAAGGGAGGGGTTGCCTGCTCTTTTCCATGTAGAGCAAGGATGTCAAACTCAAGGCCCGGGGGCCAGATCAGACCCATGGGGTGCTTAGATCAGGCCCATGGGGCCACCCTGGAAACAGTGAAGGACTGGCCCATGGAGCCTCTGCCAGCAAAAATCGAACTCAGTAGGGCTGCACATGGCCCTCCCAAGGTCCATTTTCACTGGCAGAGTGTTGCAGAGATCGTCACAGCTGTAACCCGAACTCAGGAGCCTGTTTTTGCTGGCAGAATATTTGGGCTACCATAGGTGCCCCCAACACAAGTGACATTGATCTGGCCATGCCCACCCTGGCCACGCCCACCCCAGCTCCCTGAGGTCAAATACAACCCTGATGTGGCCCTCAATAAAATCAAGTTTGAAGCCCCTTATGTAGACTCATGAACAAGAGCAACAAAAATAATCTGGGATTCATATCGTTGCAACACATGTCTTAGTGCCAATTCCAAAAACATGTAGCCATTGAAGCAATGAACCTTTCTCATTACAGCATGGTTGCCCAGAGCTGTCCCTATCCATGGTAGTTGTTGTCACTGTTGTTATTCATAGTTCTATTAGTTAAAACAGTACAGTGGTGGCATTTACCCGGTTCTGCCCAGTTCTGGAGAGCTGGTAGGAGTGATGAGCAGCAGAGACTGATCCAGTTCTCTCCACTGCTCTAATGGCTCTGCTGTTGGGCCCACCTGCCTGCCCGGGCTCCCATACTCACCTTTATCTGCTGAATTTGAAGCACAGCTGCTTTGCGCGGCACAGAAGAGTGCTGCACGGCAGCTACTGAAGCGACTGGGAGATCATGCAGGCTTTCAGGAGGTGAGGTAGAATGCACTTGCACAAAGGCCTCGGTGCCTGCGCAAAGTGCGCATGTGGTGCGCGCGTGCCTGCAAAGTGTGTGCACACATGCAAAGTGTGCCCACCAAACCACGCCCACTGAACTGGTGGCAACAATATTTGAATCCCACCACTGAAACAGTAGTTATTAATTTTCATATAATACACATTTGAGCATCAATAAACATTCTGAAATGAGGGGATCAATGAGCTGAAGAGTTCAGGGGGTCCTGGATACAACCTATTATTTTGTAGAGGTTACAGTGAAGATAGCACTAATAATTAAAATACAATACAAGTTGTTGTTTACACATTAATGAAAAACACAAGACAAGGTTGAAGATAAGTGACTGTCTACTTCAGCCAGCTATTAATAAAAAAATCCAAAAGGTGCCAAGTGCAGAAAATGACAACCGCATTATTTCCAGCTAGATGCAGAATCAAATCAGTTGGAAACAGCGAAAAAGTCATCTATACACCATATATATAGACATTATGTATTGCACAAAACCACATGAAAGTTCATAAATAATATTTTGTGAATCCAAGGAGTTATTTTGTAAATCATGTTGTGTGAACTCACCCAAATTCTAATTTATTTAACAGACCATGTGTGAACATAGTCATGGTTTGGGCCATTCCCAAATGAAAGCTCACTTGAATAGGTTTTTACAACCAACCACGCCACACCTTATCTGGGGTTCTATCAAGCCTCTGTTTAATTAACCGACATTCTAATGTTAGAAAGAGGCTTATTGTATTGCAACATACGTTGCAACTATTATTATAGGACCTGCAAACAAGATCTTTGAAGTTTGTGATCTCATGTACTCTTGCAACCATCAGCCTTGCCCTATGATATCCGAGCAACTAAAGTTTAGCAAAGGTGCCTTGCCTAGAAACTGTGCTCACCTTTGGGATATAAGCTTAAAATCAGGTTTTTCAAATTTCTCAATTTGTGCCAAATAGTGTATGGCTTAATTTGCACAACTTGAATCTGTGTTTCAGAACACACCCAACATTCTTTAGAAGTTGTATGCTGCAATAAAAACAGACAAACTGCTGGGCCGTTTGATTAATTTTTTGGATCTACTGCTTTTGTGAATCCAGATAGCGCCATGTTATCCAAACAGTTCCAGATAGTTAAGAGTTGGAAAAAAGTGAACCTTTGATCCTTGATCACTTCTTGCAAATATAGGAGTACCTCTCTTACAAAAATCAACCTTCTGAATTCAAGGTTGTTAAATTTTGACATTGTGTATCATGCATATTCTCCCTCTAAATAAAAGTCCTTAAGAGGCATGTGGGAACCAGAAAGGTCCATACAAAAAAATTTGATACCTAACAGCCCTTTCAGCATTGTTAATCACAACTTAATTTTTTTTAGTACAGTATTTGATCTCCTTAACTATAGGTTTTTTAATGTCTATATCTGAACCTCAAACCTTCACTGAAAGATGCATTTTATAATTAACAACTTTCATTATCTGTTCAAGATTATTTAATATAATTCCAGATTTTTATTATTTATATATCACCCAGAATCCTTCAGAGTTCAATGGCATACAGCAGCCATAGCAATAGTATAAATCTACTGCTTGAAACAACCACATCTATCATGTCCCCATGATATCTTCAACTTACTAATATCTCTCTTTTTTCTTTCCAGAAGACTTTTCATCCTATACTGATGCACCTGGAGGAGTATCTACCTGGACCATGCCAGGAAGTGCTACTTTCTCCTATTGCTCCTATAATGCTCCAGGCCAGACAGGTAAGGCTCTGCATTCCTTCTTCCCTTGCTTTCTCAAACAGCAGAGTAGTCTTTGTGCCCCAGTTGTTGTGTATGATAATTGCACAATTTTCAGAACCCACCATTGGAGGATGGGTTCATATATTGCACCAGGCTAGAGTTTGCTCAACATGGTTTATGGAATAATGTATAGCTGATTGAGTTTATACATCACACTATCCATAAACTATGATTTCAAAACCACAATGGCTGGGTTCATATACTGTAATATGCTGAGTCAAGGCTGAGAAACCACAATATGGCTTTGAAAACCAGTTTCTGCTTTTTTAAAATTTGGTCTGGCTCCATCTACTCTTAGGGACTTGTCGTATTTTTCAATACAAAAAGTTTCTCAAATAAATTAAATTAATAAATAAAATAAAACTAATTCTCCCATTATATTTGTATTCCTCTTTGTCTTGTTCCTTGTTTAGCAAAATGTATTTCCCATTGACTTGGGAAAACTTATATCTTCTCTTAGGGAATTATTCAACATTTTTATTAATGACCAAGATGAAGGGATTGATGAACCAATTGGGTTAGTCAAGATAAAAAAAGTGAGAGGTTTGGGCAACACCCCAAATGATTTCAATTTAATCTGGACAGGTTGGAAGAATGAGCTGAGAGGAGTAAGATGTTGCTTAAAAAAAAGAATTGTAACGTGTTATATTTAGGAGGGGAAACGTAGGGTACATCTACAAGATGCAGAATATATGGCTATGAAACAGTACATCTAATGATTTGGGTATGATAACCGACAATAAGCTTAATATGAGGTGGGCTAACATAGTTCTGGAGTACATCAGAACATGAATTATATCGATGACAGGTGAAGTCATTTCCTTTTAATACTCTATTCAGACACACATGGAGAACTGTGTGAAATTCTAGGCACCACATTTCTAACCACAAGAGCCATGGTGGCAGATAGGTTAGAATGCAGTACTGCAGGATACTTCTGGCTGCCAACAGTTTGGCAGTTCGATTCTCATTGGCTCAAGGTTGACTCAGCCTTCCATCCTTCTGAGGTGGGTAAAATGAAGACCCAGATTGTTGGGGACAATATGCTGGCATTGTAAAACCACTTAGAGAGAACTGTAAAGCACTGTGAAGCGGTAGATAAATCTAAGTGCTGCTATTGCTATTTCCAGAGGGATTTAGGTAGATAAGAGAAAGTTCAGAGAAAGGTAGCAAGGATGATCCAGGGAATGGAAGACTTATCTAATGAGGATAAGATGAAGAAACTTAGGATGTTCAACTTGCAGAAAAGACCAAATGGAGTTGTTATGACAGTGTTCAGGTACCTAAAGGAAAGATAAAGAAGAATATTTTCCAGGGCCCAAAAAACTAGAACCAAAAATAACAAATAAAAAGTGCAGCTATCTCCATTTTGCTTAGGTTTATTTCATTTAAAAATATTTTTAGTAATAAGAGTGGAACAATTTATCTTTGGAGGCCGTAGGTTCTCCAGCTCTGAAGATTTTTAAGAAGAGACTGGACAGGATGGTTTAATTGGTTTTCCTGCACCTTGTAGAGGGCTGGACTAGATGATGTTTGTAGTGCCATCATGACAATTCTATGATTCTATATCCTCGCTGTCTGTTTCTCTCTCCTCAGCAATAAATGTTCACTTTCCTCCTCCTCCACCGCCTCCTCCTTCTCCTCTTCCTCCCTTTTCAGATTTCTATACTACTTTTGGGCCTGGTGCTGAATTGGGAATAGGATTTCGCTCCATCTCCACTTCTACAAAATATGTCAATGGCAAACGGATAACCACCAAGAGGTGAGGTGATGAAGATGACCCTGTAATTCTTGGGATAGCTTGTTCCCTCAATCATTTCCAGTAAAGCTAAGGAACTTTTCCAAAAAGATAGTAGTAGAAATAATGTTAGAGATTAGAAGCACCAAAATACTTCCTGCTCACAGGTAAGACATTAATATTACTGTTTAACTTAAAGCTGCTTTCTTCTGAAAAACCACTATTTTTGCCTTGCTTATTCCCATACCTTTTTAAAAATAATATTTGTTTGTAAAAAAAATATTGAAGTTACCCAGGAAGCTTTTGTGAATGAATATTGTCCCACGGCAACTTATCTTCTTTTAGTTTGTTTGAATATTTCTGGATGTGAATCTGTTTATCTGTTAATGGCCAAAAGGAGGTCTTCAGATGTTTAGATTTATCATTGTTCATTTTCATGTTCTTCAGGAACAGATAAATAGAACTTTACTATTTATTATATTCTTTTCCCATGGTCAAATTATTTGTTTAAATTAAAGTTAATTCTTGGAAATTTAATATAGGTGTAAGCTACAGACATGAATTAAAGCCTATTTATATGTGATTATAAATACATTAAAGCCGTATATACTGGGCCAATTACTATAGTCAAGTCAAACTAATAAGCTGTAGGATGCCTCTGAAGAATGTGGTAGTTTGGCTGATAGTTCTTAGATGGAAAAAGCTACAAACAAAATCACCAATGTTGCCCCTTTGAACAGACCGGGGTGGGTGGGTCATGGAAATTGGCCTAAATATTCTGGGGTTGACGTTTCAGTTGCTACAAAAGAGGAAACTGGCTTGTTTTGCAGGATTCTTGAACACGGAGGGGAAAAAGTAGAAATTGATGAGAATGGTTTGCTCAAAGTGGAAGAAACACAAGGTAAGATATCAGGGGTGGGATTCAAATTTCTTAACAACTGGTTCTGTGGGTGTGGCCTAATTTGTGGGTGTGGCTTGGTGGTCATGTGACTGGCTGGGCATGGCTTGTATGTAAATATTGTAAATATATATGTAAAGATTGAATTTTTTATTTTTTTTAAAAAGAGCAACTTTTACCCAAAATCAGGCAAAGCAGGCAGACAGATTGAGCTGCTTGCAGAATCACAGCTTCACTCGCAGATCTACCTTTCTGCAATCTGCTGCCTGAGTCTACACTGAAAAAATAGAAGCTTCAATCCTAAGGAAGGTTCAGCTCTGCTCTCAGGCCACTTCTCCCTCCCCCAACCCCCTGAATACCACCCTTGAATGGGCCTCAGGGAAGCCTCCTGGGTGGGGAGGGGACGGGCCAGCCAGTGGTGTAATTTGCCAGTTCTCTGAACTGCACAGAATCGTATCAACCGGCTCTATAGAACTGGTCCGAACTGGTAGAATCCACCCCTGTAAAGATATCTGATCTGGAGAAAACATATATGTACTAGGAGGGAAGATAAAAAGCTTTTGGCACAAATACTCACAACAGAGGAAAAGAAGTTACATCACTCACTCTAATTGAGGAAATTCATGGAGGCGAGAAGGTACATCACCTCATTATCCAGTGGCACCTATGTAAGCACTAGAGTAGAAGTGGGCCACATTCTAATCTCCTGAGGCTCTATGCTTTCCTGCCTTTCTCCCTCTGGATCATCATATTTGTCATACTTTCATATCCTTGCCCGAATTTGGATATATATATATACACACACACATATGGCTCATTCCTCATATTTCCCCCACATACTGGAAGAGTAGGAAATGTCAAAGTCCAACAAACAGACTTGAAAGCCCTAGGTGACACATTTCTGAATTAGACTGCCATGAGCCAGCTTTCTGTTATCCATTTCTTTCTTGCACCAGCACCAGGACATCCTGTAACGGGAGGTGTATCCTTCCCACTTGTTCTAAAGACAGGGCTTAGGGTTTTTCACACCTGGCTCTTTGTGGGAAGAGATAGGCCCTTCCCTAGTTCTGTTCCTACCTAGCTCTGAATAGTATATTTATTTGCAAGATAGGCCAGCCTTCAATGTTGTTCAGCCAAAGTAGAGTAGATGGACAGGCTAGGAAAAGGCATCTCAATCTCTCCCATTTTTATGCAAATGCTATTTCTGCAATCCCATATGGCTCAGGAAATTCTCTCCCCCACCCCCATTTAATACTGTAACGTGGAGTTTGTATTGGGGAGAATGGCCTCCTGAACAGTGGTGGGATTCAAAAAATTTTACTACTGGTTTTATGGGCATCGCTTGGTGGGTGTGATGTGGCTTGGTGGCCGTGGCAGGGGAAGGATACTGCAAAATCTCCATTCCCTCCCCACTCCTGGGGGAATGTTACCACCTCTGCTCCTGAATCACATAGGGTAAAATTCAGAGCTGGTATTCAGTATTGACTAGTTCAGAGAACCGGCAAATACCACCTCTGACTGGAGATTTTACAGTATCCTTCTTCCTCTACCATGCCCACCAAGCCACGCCCACTGAACCGGTAGTAAAAACATTGAATCCCACCACTGGGTAAAATTGAAGGGAATTTTAAGTTATATTGTTCTCTATGCCCCTTTGTTTTTCTCTTTCAGATCCCTACAGCAACTTGACAGCCACAATTGAACCTATCCAGCAGGAGCAACCTGAGGTTTTGAGCTCTGCAGCAGACATCTGGCCTCTACCACGATCACAGAGTGCTGACTTCTCTTATGCCTACCCTAGCAACGAAGACAAACAATTGCATCGGGCCATGGCGTATAGTCTGTCTGAAATGGAGAATGTGGGGCAGTACTTAGCACTTTCCCAGGGCTCCAAGAAGAGACGGGGTACCACTCGGCGAACACACTCAAGGATCCTGGGACCCAGTGAAGATGTGGCTTCTGCTCCATTGGCCATCAGAGCCAAGAGCCCAGGCGCAGGAGACAACATTGAGAAACAGAGGAAACACAAGCCACCTGAAGTGCCAAAAGTGGAAATCATTGTTGAGGTACCAAAGAGCCCAGCAGTGGAAGACCATGCTGCCCCTAATGAGGTGCAGTATGTCTTTCCTGAAATTGTTCCTTCCCGCAGAGAGAGGGAATCAATCATGTGCACCATTCTCTGAATTCAAGTATGTAGGAGGGGAACAACCTGTGTCCATTAAAGGTAACAATCTGGCTATTGGTCTCCATAATTGCATTATTCCCTGGAGATGTTCTCCAGATGTTCCTCCGCTAAGGTCCTTTTAAGTGGGAGCTACAAGAAATGTCTAAGCTCAGTGAAATGTATACATTTAATCGGCATAATTTGTCCAGAACATAGAATTTAGCATTTCACAGTATAAATATCTAAAGAATTCTCAAAGAAAATGTTTTAGAAGTGTTGGAAGAATTATCCTTTTGGGTTCAGTCCAAGTGGGGAAAAAAAACACTGGAAACATGGAGGCTGTTTGGAAAGATGGTTTAATGGTAGACAGGATCACATGCCTTGGAGCTCCAAAGTGACAAGGATGACTACATGCGTCAAGATGGTGGGTGAAGGAAAAGAAAAGGGGTGGTACGCTGGGAGTGCCTGGGTTTTATACACTCTGTTGGGATTTGAATTTGAGCTTGTATTCCGATTGGTTGTCAGACTCCCATGGGGCCATGCAGGGGCAACTCTGTAGGCTATCCTAAGTCCTAGGCTTGGTTGAGCCTTGCTGGATGATGATGTAATGAAAGGGCTTTGGGCAATTCCTATTATAGCTCTACCTGGAGTAGATCTTTGTTATGTAAAATAGACTGGCCTAGGCCAGAGTAATGGCCCATTAGCAAAGAGGTGGTGGTGAGTTTCTGCTTCTCTGAGTTTCTACTTTTCTTTTTAGGGGAAATATTCTGCCTTTTTAATATATCCTAAAATATTTCATTTTTCTAGGAGAGGGGTGGGTTTTAACTTCCAACAGAAGGAATTAAGTTAAATCAGGGAAGAATCTGGTTTCCTGAAAGTTTCCTTCTAAAAGAAAAAAGAAAAACACAACACCCTTCTGCTGGATGAAACCAAAAGCCTGCCATATCCAGCATCTTAATCTCCTTCCAATCTATAAAAGGAGAGACATCATTCCCAAGTTTAAGTATTATCATTTACCCCAAAGCACATTTTCCACCAATATTTTAAATAAACAGGCCGTTTTAGATCCACAGAGAATATGGTAGTGAAAGCGGGCAATTAGTTTCTTGTTTGATGTTCTTTTTGCAAGGGTCTTAAATTCAGAGTTACCATCTTTTTCCATCTGTAAATTCTGTAATTAAATGATGGTGCAGAAGGCGTGCCTGGGACTGGAAACAGGCTGAATAATAAATAATTCAGTGAAAACAAGGAATCTAGCTAGAATCTGGCCTTCACTATAAAATTCTTTCACAAATAAGTACTGTATAGAGTTTATGGACCACCATAGACAGCAAGTGTACAATTGGGCAGGGTTTTGCTTTTTTTAACTAGTTAGAAAAGGAATTAAGGTATGATACTGTAACTATACATGTTGAACCTCTTCTACACAATAACTGAAAATGCAGGCCCTTTTTAATTCTAGTCATCCTAGAAACATACAGGATGAGTAATTTCAAATTCTTGGATGTAATAAATTCCATTGTAGAACATAAGGTAAAACTGTAGATGAGGATTAAAAATAAACAAAAAAAACATCTGTGTAAAGATTGCATAAACTACCAAGTGTGGTTTCTATTGTGTGATGCACTATAAAGAGGAAATCTGATACTTTATCCATCTGTTTGAAAGAAGGCAATAGCAAACCATTTTATCCATGTTATCAAAAACCTAGAAGTTGAACTCACCTTCAGGAAACTTCTACTTTTTATCTTCTTGTAAGAGACACTATAGTTTATTTGGAAAAGGACCATAATTAAGGGCCAAGAACATTTATCTTGAAAGTCATGAGATTTGCTCCTATTAATGTTTCAGAGATTGTTCTAAAAATAAAAAGAGGCATGTACGTTTGTATGTTATTAAACTTCACATTCTTTTACTAGGTACATGGAAAAATTGCCAGTGTTACAAGGCTTGATCCTATATGTATGCAATTACTTTTCCATTCAAATTATTAATTCAAAGGAAGGTTGTCCCTATTGATATATGACACATTGAGTCAGTGAAAGATAACTCTGATGAATGAACTGATACTTAATTTCTGTATTCCATTATACTCTGAAATGGAAAAAAAACCATGAAGGCAGTAGTCCAGCGGACTTGATATTTTCTAATTATCTGCAGTAACCAACAAGGCAATTGTGCACTGTGAGTGATCTATAATTTATATGAGACTTTCCAATTGTCTCAACATGCAGGTCAGACTGCTGATTGAATAAAGCACAATTGACACAACTGACATGTGAAGCCATAGCTGGATTCACACAACACATTAAACTGTCAATAACCAAATTATCTTATGGTTCTGTGAATCCAGGCACTTTTTTTTTCCTCAGCTCCCCAAATTTCTGGGGCATCACAACTCTGTCCTTCTATTGCTGATTTCAATCTTTCTGCAGCACAAGTTCCCCCGTTTAAAAAAAAAAACTTTTAAGATTGGGAACTCTGAAGTGTTTGGTCAGACAATACTCTCATCAATAAGAACCAGTTTGGTATTCTGGTGAAAATGCTGTCTTAGAAACCAGGAGACCGATTTTTACTCCCTTCTGAGGCACGAAAGCCAGATGGGTGACCTTGGACAACTCATCACTCTCTCTAGCCCAGAGGTCTCCAAACTTGGCAACTTTAAAACTTGTGGACTTCAACTTTAAGACTTGTGGAGTTGAAGTCCACAAGTCTTAAAGTTGCCAAGTTTGGGGACCCCTGCATCTAACCTAACCCATCTCATAGCATTGTAGTCAGATGTGGTATTCAGCAGGTTCTGACCAGTTCTGGAGAACCGGTAGCGGAAATTTTGAGTAGTTCAGAGAACCGGCAAATACCACCTATGACTGGAGATTTTACAATATCCTTCCCCTGGCAGGCCCACCAAGCCATTTGAGTCCCACCACTGGTTGTAGTGATGGAGGGAAACAAAAGAGGAGGAAGGAATATTAGGTATGATTGTCACTTTGAGTTGTATATGAAAAAAAAAAGGCAGGATAAACACAACCACAGTAACAGCAGCAGCAGTAGTAACCCAAAAAGGGTGAGTCACTGTTGCCGATTTCTGCCATCCAATCTATTCATATACTATGCAAGTAGACCTGCAGGAATTCACACAGCTCTATTTATAGTCATACGACAAAATCTTTAAGGAAAAAGTGTAAGGACTGTCATCTCTAGTATCTTAAAAAAAATGTCAATCGTTTTGAATTCAGTGCATGGGATAGTACCGCAGGGCTGTTTTGAGTGCAGGAGTGCTGCTGTAAACGTGCTCTAAGCCCTTCTCCTCCTTCCTATTTTGCTTTAATGAAATCCAGTCGACAGACTTCGGCCCTGGGCAGCCAATTCAGAAGGGGGAAAAAAATAAATAAATAAAAGCTAAAACCGAGATCCGTGACCGCATCCCATCAATTTTTGAAAAGTAAGGGGGGGGGCACCTAATCAAATCTTGACAAAGAGGGCAGATGCTTCAATCGTTGCTTCCTCCACCTACCTAGCCCACCCGCCCCCCACCCGCCAAAGCCACCGCGTTTTCTAGCTGCAAATGCTTAGGCACGGTGATGCAGCAAGGATGCCCGCGTGCGGCGCCAGGTGGGGCTCCGCGGGCCCAGCCCCAGGAGTGGGGGGGGGGCGGATTCTAGCGGGATCTCAAAACCAGCTGTTGTCTGGGTCGGGTTGCCTTTACCTCACCAGTTCAAAGGGCGACGCTCTGACGTTACAATGGGGCTGCGCGCGTTCTATTGGTGGCGAGCCCCGCCAATCGTCGGGCGGGCCCAGGCAGGAGCCGGCCTTCCATCTCGCTCACTTGACAGCCAGAGACCGACGGAGGCCGGAGCTTTAAAGGGGTGGGGAGGAAAAAAAAAAAGAACCCCGCGTTGGGCCGCGCGTAAGAGCTGCTCGTGGCCATGGTGGAATCCGGACGGAGACTCCTCCGGTGGTAAGGTGCGTCCCCGGCGTTGGTAAAAGATGGGTTTTAGCAACCGGCTGCATCCTTTTCCCCCGTCCTCCCGCACGGTTAGCCGCGCGGGTGCGTTAGACGGGGCGCCCTGGGGACCTTCCCCCTGGAAATGCAGGTCTGCTCTCCCCCTCCCCACGAGAGGCAAGCAATCGCAGCAGCAGCCAGCCGTCAGTCGATCGGGGAAACGGGGGCTCTTATTTGCAAATCTATTGGCGACGTGATTCCAAAAATAAATAAAATTTAAAAAAAAATATCACAGATTCTGGGTGACTGAAATGATGATGATGATGGTGGTGGTGGTGGTGATGATAGCCCGTCTTCCCGGAACGAGTAATATCAGGGATGGCCCCATTCGATGTCCAGGGGACGGTTACTATTCCCGGTGCACTAAAACGGAGGAACGAGGAGCGTCCCTCCCGTACGTACTAAAGGGGACCATTCTGAGCTGGAGGAAAAAAAGGGGCTGCGGCCCCCAAGTCAGGCGGCGCCTGGGCTTGCAATGATCTCCAAATGCGTAGGTAAGAAACCTTGGCAGCCTCAAAGCAAATGCCGGCATGGTTGTTTATTTTGCTACGCGGACAATCGGTGCACGGCGCCCGGCCTGGTTAGCGCGGAGAAAGGCGGGATCCATTAGAATCCTCGAGAAGCTGAAACGCGATCCGCCTCTTAAGGCCGGATGTTGTCTCTCGGTCCGCTGAAGCACACAAAAACAAAAGCAGAGCGAGATCCGCAACTCTCCCCCCCCCTTTAAAGCAAAAAAATATGCATTTGTCACGAGGGAAAGCGATGCAGGCTCCCTACCGGGAGAGCGCGAGCAGTCGCGGCGCTTTCCGTCCGAATGCAGCAGGTTGCTACTCCGTGTTGTAAACTGCCCTGAGCACGATGGAGCTGTTGCGGAGTGTTGGGGTTTTGTTTTTGTTTTTTTTAAAAAAATACACATCCCTGAAACGAAGAGTTAATTAGAAAAATTAATCGGGAGGAATTGCAAAGACGGGGCATGCTTACATGATTTGGAACATAGGCTTGGTTAGATTGGTAGA